AGAGTTATGGGAGAGTAAGAGAGCTGTTAGATGGTTTATCATCATGTTACATGGAACACCTGTATCATAAATTATTGGTGGTACAAGAAATAGGAGGCTGTGAAGGGACAACAGAACACAGATTATTTGGTATGAACTATAGGAAGAAGAACAGCCTTAAATATGTACCAGGTAAAAGTCATCGGAAGTAAAGGTGGCTAGTGTGATGCTGACCACGTCACCCACTGAATGCCGGTTGATCTATAAATTATAGGTGTTGCCTTGTATGCGTGAAGGCGTGGAAGAGGGGGCCTTCTTATTTTTCAGACTTTTGGCGCATCAGACATAGTGCTAGACCTGTATACTTGTCTAGATGTATACTTGTCTAGATGTAAACTTGTCTAGATGTATACTTGTCTAGATGTATACTTGTCTAGATGTATACTTGTCTAGATGTATACTTGTCTAGATGTATACTTGTCTAGATGTAAACTTGTCTAGATGTAAACTTGTCTGGATGTATACTTGTCTAGATGTATACTTGTCTAGATGTAAACTTGTCTAGATGTATACTTGTCTAGATGTATACTTGTCTAGATGTATACTTGTCTAGATGTATACTTGTCTAGATGTAAACTTGTCTAGATGTATACTTGTCTAGATGTATTCTTGTCTAGACTAATCATCACACAGTGGGTGTTGGGTTCAACATGACACTTGCTGCCTTGACTTTCTAGAACAAAACCTTGTACCCATTTTAGGCTGGGCTGACCTAGAAGCCTTAGATCTGAGGGGGAAAAATCTACCTCGATGATTTGAACCGTGTACCTTTGGTCTGACAGGCAAACTTCTAGCCACTATGCTACCATGGCTCTCTTCCTCCCTCCCCACACACATACTCATGCGCATGCACACACATACATGTATTTACATATAGACACATAAATTAGACATATCATTTTTACAGTACGTTTAAAAATAATAGATGGAGAAAATAGAGATCCATTTTCAAGTGTGAAAGAAATTTGTATGTGTGTTTTCAGATGCTAACAAGAAACTGCTGGAACAGAAAGAGGAGTTTAATCGATTGATTGAAAGTCATCAAGATGAAAAACTGAAACTCACAAAGGTAAGAATTATTTTCACATATACAGTCCAGACAGTGAAATCATATTTTAGGGTAGGTCATGACCCTGTTCTTCTTCTTCTTCTTCTGCCTTTCTATCCCCCAATGGAGCATAGGCCCTCAACCAACTCACGCCAATTGGTTCTATCCTTCTCCATTGCATGGAGCTCTCCCCATGTACTCCCCATCTTTCTAACTTCATTCTCCAGCTCTCTTCTCCGTGTGTTTTTTGGCCTTCCTTTATTCCTGCGCCCCTGTGGATTCCAATGCAAAGACATTCTAGTTATGCTGTTCTCCTGTTTTCTCAGTGTGTGTCCTATCCAACGCCAGCGTCTTTTCCTCACCTCTTGGTCCACTGGAACCTGTTTAGTTATCTCCCAAAGTTCTACATTAGTTATTCTATCATACCATTTAATTCCCTCTATTCTGCGCAGGCACCAGTTAATGAATGTCTGGCCTCACATCAGTGTTAATTTCATGAGTTTTTCTTGGTCATCTTTCCTCAATCCATTTATTTCCATTTTGGTGCTTGTTTTTTTTTAAAAATTATATGCACTTGTATAATGCAATAGATTAAGCATAAGAATTTTTTTTTCTTTTTCGAATCATGAATTTAATTGAGCTGCTGCATGCTGATTCAAAGGTCCAGTGTTCATGCCCTGATGGAGACACTTTGAAAAATAAAAAAGGCTTTGGCACCCAGGTCGACTGAGCCTTAAATAGGTACCAGGTAAAAGTCCCGGGAAGTAAAGGTGGCCGGTGGGATGTTGACCACATCACATATCGAGTGCCGATTGGTCTATAAAATCTAGGTTTAGCCGTGTATGCCCAATACATCTCAAGATGTGGTAATGGGTTCTTTAAGAGGTGAGAATTGTATATGTGTGTGTGTGTGTATAAATATATATAGAACTCTTTTCAAGTCTTTGTAATTCAGTGCTAGACCTATATTTTTCTACTGGGCCAGCTGGCACATGAAAGGGGATGTGGTCATCATCATGTCGGCCATCTTTACCCCCAAGGACAGTACTTGGTACCATCTTTACCCCCAAGGTCATTACTTGGTACCATCTTTACCCCCAAGGACATTACTTGGTACCATCTTTACCTCCAAGGTCATTACTTGGTACCATCTTTACCCCCAAGGACATTACTTGGTACCATCTTTACCCCCAAGGACATTACTTGATACCATCTTTACCCCCAAGGACATTACTTGGTACCATCTTTACCTCCAAGGTCATTACTTGGTACCATCTTTACCTCCAAGGACATTACTTGGTACCATCTTGACCTCCAAGGTCATTACTTGGTACCATCTTTACCCCCAAGACATTACTTGGTACCATCTTGACCTCCAAGGACATTACTTGGTACCATCTTGACCTCCAAGGACATTACTTGGTACCCCTGTCATTTGCATATCAATGTCAGCATCTGTGGCTTAGATTTTGCGAACAAGTTTCGTAATGCCAGGGTGCCAGGTTCATTTCCAGCTGTTTACGGTTTTCTTGCGTTGGTTTCAACAGTGGTACCGACAGCTGACCGTTCAGCAGTGGTGGCAAACTACTGAAAGTAAAATATGCCTAGAAAAACCACAACAGCAAAAAAATGCTGGGGTTAGTTCTGCAATGTCCTGTAAAGGATGTCTTAGGCTGAGTTGCTTGGCAGCCAAGGTCACTTTAAAAAAAAAAGAAAACACATCTACCCCAATAGAGTTTTGAACATCAGATCTTCAGGCCCGTCACACACACACACACATTTACACACATAGATGCTTTAGTTCTTTATGTTTAATTAAAAGTAAAAAGTAAAGATCCCTTTTCAAGCCTTTAGGCACATCTGGCATATGGGAAGAGCACCCTATATTTTACAGACCAATCGGCACTAGGTGGCTAATGTGGTCAGCATTACGCCGGCTGTCTTTACTTCCCCAGGACATCCATCCTGGTACCCATTTCAGACTTCCGGTTAAAATGGACGCTAGACAGCGGCGCTGTTCGGAACAGAGGCAATTTTTTTGCTTCTGCCGGACGGTGGCCGATGCATTTTTGCTCCATTTGTAGACTGGATATAGTTTCGTCGCCCAGCTTCTGAGTTGAATGCATGGCGTGACTCTGTGAGCTGCGGATTGCATTTGGAATGTGTTTTTTTTTCGACTGTGACCAACGTGGTGTGAATTGTAGATTCAGAAAATGGCGCGATGCCTGTCGTTCAATGCTGGCGGGGCCCATATTAAAATTGATCGCGCGGGCAACTGCTGATCTGTTGGCGACAAGTTCTGCTATCATCAATGATGAACTGCATTTCTAATGTTGGACTGTTTGTGTTAGCACTTCGGATGGCTACCATATGCTTTAATGCGAGTGTATGCTAGATATGCTGAGACAGCAGTCTGTCAATCTTTCCACAAGGGACTGTGATAGACATTCTGAGTGTTTTTCGCTGGCACAGGAGCAGAGCCAAGATGGGGCGACCCGTTTGCTATGAAGCTGAAACTAAGACTACCAGACTACCAGACCCATTTCAGGCTGGGTCGACCTACAATGCCGCATTTATGTTTAATCAATTTTACTAAAATAATACACTGCACATTTGATAATGACTCGTATTGAATTCTGTCTTCAGCTTGAGGACATAGAGACTGCCCTTACAGCTTGCCAGGCTCAGCTGAAGTCAAAGACTGCCCAGTGCAGTGCTGCAGAGTCATTGGTGGAGAGGCTGACTGATGAGTGTGGAGCTCTTCAGCAGAAGGTCAGCTCTCTGGAATCAACAATGTGAGTTCAAAAACAACAATATTTTGTGCCATCTCCGCAATGAAGGTTGGCTATAGCATACCTGTTACTGTTTTCTGAGAATATTACGTGGTGAGGCCCAGATACCTTCCATGGTGTGACTCTCATACTATGTCCTCCCCATGTAGGTTCCGGGGCTCCATTGTGGGGGGAAAAACCAAACAAGAATAGACCCACTGCCTGTCTAACAAGCATGTCAAAGGAGTAAATTAATTGAGGACTTCCTTCGAAGTCGGAGTGCATCTGCCCGAGCAGCAAGAAACAGCCAGCTAAACACGAGTAGGCCAGTAAAATGGATGTACGCGCAAAACTCAGTTCCTGGCATAAAGTGAAAGTCTTATTGGATGAGCAACTCGGACTTTCCCCTGGAGCTTACAGCTGGTGGGAAAAAAGACGAAGATACCACTGTCCAAAAACCTAGAGCATTTTTTAAAAAAAAGGTTTGCCTCGGTAATTAACACCCCCCTTTCCCCCTCAGTACTCGAAGGATCATGAAATTGTGAAACACATTTACTTTTCTCTTAGCTACAGATAAATAATTTGTTTTAATTATTCCTTCAACAAAAGTATCTGTGCACATGATTAGAAACATCGGATAGAAGTGTCACAGAGATAAAGAACAGCTTACTTCTGTCAATTGACAATCTCTCAATATTCCCAATCATTTCAGTCTAATAATTCTCATGATGCCAGTGATCAGTGGTCATTTAAACGGATTATGAATTTCGTTGTTGCTTCTCATGTTGTGAGCTTTATTTTATGAACAGAGTATTTGAGTTTAAACAGGGCAGAGCTATTCAGCTAAGTTTACGTGTCCAAAATGTGGAAAATTGGGATTCTTGTCAGCCAGAGGCCTGAGCCGCAGCACAGTAAGACGTTATTGCTATACAGATGGCGTTGATCTGCGGGCGACTTGTTTGGACTCTGCAGGATGAATTTGGGCTGCCAGTTGAATAGCCCTTTCTAGTGCATAGTGTACCTTATTTACAGATTGTATTCTAGATGTTATTTCTTCTCTCAGCATGTTGGAGCAGTTAAAGTTTGTATGCAAGTATTTATTGTGTTTCCATTCTTTTGATTTGCATATTATCTATTTTTATATGTGGCACAGTCAAAGACTGACAGATGAAAATAGGGAGAGAGCAGAACTGGTGACCTCATTAAGTGAAGATAGAGCTGCCTTTGAGAAGAAACTAGAAGAGAGTGAAAAGGAGATAGAAGGGGTAAGTCTTTGATTTTAGTGGGGTAAGTCATTGATTTGAGTGGGGTCATTTATTGATTTGAGCGAGGTCATTAATTGGTTTAAGTGAGGTAAGTCAATGATTTGAATGAGGTCAGTCATTGTTTCAATTGAGGTCATTCATTGATTAAAGTGAGATCAGTCTTGAATTAAGTGAGATGAGTCATTTATTTAAATGAGGTCAGTCATTGAATTAAGCGAGGTCAGTTATTGATTGAAGTGAGGTCAGTCATTGATTTAAGTGAGGTCAGTTATTGATTTAATTGAATTCATTTATTGATTTAAATGAGGTCAGTCAATGATTCAAGGGCGGTCATTTATTGATGAAAGTGAGATCAGTTTATTTAAGTGAGATCAGTCAGTGATTCAAGTGAGGTCAGTCGTTGATTTAAATGAGGTGATTTATTGATTTAAGTGCGGTTATTTATTGATGAAAGTGAGATCAGTTTATTTAAGTGAGATCAGTCATTGATTCAAGTAAGGTCAGTCGTTGATTTAAGTGAGATCATTTTTTTATTTAATTGAGGTCAGTCATTAATTTAAACAAGGTCATTCATTTATTCAGATGAGATCAGTTTATTTAAGTGAGGTCAGTCATTTATTTAACTGAGGTCAGTCATAAATTTAAGTGATGTCAGTTATTGATTTAAGTAAGGTAAGTTTTTTATTTGATTGAGGTCAGCCATTGATTTAAACAAGGTTAGTCATTGATTCAAGTGAGGTCTGTCATTGATTTAGGTGGCGTCAATCATTGATGTAAGTGTGGTCAGTCATTAAGTTAAGTGGTAAAAGGGGTCAATCATTGATGTAAGTGTGGTCATTCATTAAGTTAAGTGGTAAGTGGGGTCAATCATTGATGTAAGTGTGGTCATTCATTGAGTTAAGTGGTAAGTGGGGTCAATCATTGATGTAAGTGTGGTCAGTCATTAAGTGGTAAGTGGGGTCAATCATTGATGTAAGTGTGGTCAGTCATTGATTTAAACAAGGTTAGTCATTGATTCAAGTGAGGTCTGTCATTGATTTAGGTGGCGTCAATCATTGATGTATGTGTGGTCAGTCATTAAGTTAAGTGGTAAGTGGGGTCAATCATTGATGTAAGTGTGGTCAGTCATTAAGTGGTAAGTGGGGTCAATCATTGATGTAAGTGTGGTCAGTCATTAAGTTAAGTGGTAAGTGGGGTCAATCATTGATGTAAGTGTGGTCAGTCATTGAGTTAAGTGGTAAGTGGGGTCAATCATTGATGTAAGTGTGGTCAGTCATTAAGTTAAGTGGTAAGTGGGGTCAATCATTGATGTAAGTGTGGTCAGTCATTAAGTTAAGTGGTAAGTGGGGTCAATCATTGATGTAAGTGTGGTCAGTCATTAAGTTAAGTGGTAAGTGGGGTCAATCATTGATGTAAGTGTGGTCAGTCATTGAGTTAAGTGGTAAGTGGGGTCAATCATTGATGTAAGTGTGGTCAGTCATTAAGTGGTAAGTGGGGTCAATCATTGATGTAAGTGTGGTCAGTCATTAAGTTAAGTGGTAAGTGGGGTCAATCATTGATGTAAGTGTGGTCAGTCATTAAGTTAAGTGGTAAGTGGGGTCAATCATTGATGTAAGTGTGGTCAGTCATTAAGTTAAGTGGTAAGTGGGGTCAATCATTGATGTAAGTGTGGTCAGTCATTGATTTAAACAAGGTTAGTTATTGATTCAAGTGAGGTCTGTCATTGATTTAGGTGGCGTCAATCATTGACGTAAGTGTGGTCAGTCATTAGGTTAAGTTGTAAGTGGGGTCAATCATTATATAGCAAGTAATGTGTACATAGATTATGTTATTTCTCTACCCGTACAAACATCCAAGAAACAAATAGTCATACATAGCTTACATGTATATCATGTATGTCTCTTTATAAAGATATAAAAGCATTCATTAATTTGAATAAATTCTTCTCAGATGCAAATCCAGTTTAGCCATGCAGAGTCACAATTAGCAAAACTGGAAGAGGAATATAAAAGTTACATCAGTAATACAGAACTACAAAGGAAAAAGGTACTATTGGGTTTGCAGCAGCTTGCTTTTTATTTTAATGCTTTTTGATTTCATGGGATAAAGACCAGGGGAAGACCAAGAAAGAGATGTTATAAAATTGTGTAGCAGAAACTTTAAAAAAGATTAATCAATCCGCCACTCGAGAAATGCAAGACAAATACAGAAAAACCGCAAAATTGGGCTACAGCCTGGTTTCAGTGAGAACATTTTAAATAGTTTTTTGGAGTGGGATTCTACCTAAAGCAGCCATGTGCAGGATGTGATGATTCTTTTGGTGAGCTTCCTTGGATGGCAGGGAATGCCCATGATCTGCCCCTGCATTCTTTTGAGGGCCAACCAGTCTATACAGGGATGCCGTGAATGGGCTCTCCAAGATAAGGGGACAAAGAGAACATCACACAAATGAGGATACAACAGGACCCACAGAACTGTCGGGGAAGTTAACCTGGTCAAAAATGCTCGGTGAAGTCGGATGTGTCGACAAAACGATGCCAATATTGCAGCTCTGTGTAAATAGGCACTAGGCGTTTGCATCACTCCGACGAACGAAAAGAAGATTTCTGAACATGTCTGGGTCCTCTTTGTTTTTCCTGTTGGGAGCTCTGATTTATGTGTCCATCTTCTAGGCTGTGCTTGCTGAGTCTTGGCTATGGCTCTTATTTATGATTAGGTTTATGATTCAAGTTTTGGAACAAAACTCAAGTCCAAAAGTGGATGAATCACCAGAACTTTCCATCAGAGTTTATACCCAGGGAACTCTAAGAAGAAGCAGAAGAAGATTTAATATCAGAAATATTTTCAAACATTCACAGTAAAGATCTAAACTTTCAAGTCAGAAAAAGTAAACGACCCTTTTTACGCCAGTGGTACATCAGACTTATTATGCTAGATTCATATTTTTACAGACTATTTGGCACTCAGGGGTTGTGGTCAGCATCTTGATGGCCGCTTTACTTCCATGAACATTTCCTTGCACCCATTTTAAACTGGGTCAACCTGAGAGCTTAAGTACAACTTTATAAAAAGGCACTTCATTGCAGATTTTAACCCAAAACCTTCAAGTCAGCAGGCAAGCGTCTTGCCAGTACGCGACTGTGAGATATTCACCACCCATTGGTGCAAAGCAAGCCCATCTGTTTGCCCGTTCACTTCCTTACACTCCTGCATGCCCGGGAGAAAATATCAAAAGAGTGCTGACTACCTGGGATGTCTGTAGCGATGCTTTCCACTCATGGGCTGCGAGTCCCATGCCTCCTAATAGCACAGTATAACACTGTTGTCTGGAAAGATGCAAAGGACGAACTTTGCACACTGTGTGAGATCTTCATTGGTGATAGTTACCCGAAAGAAGAAAAAAAATCTTGTCTTCTGTATCAGTTTATTATGTCGTTTGTAAAACTGTAATATTATTTCTTAACATTTTTTTATTTTTACAATTGAAAACACTAGACAAATAAAATGCTACAAGAGAAGGCCGACCATATCGACCAACTTCAGGAGAGAGTGAGAACTCTGGAACAAAGAATCTCAGACTCCTCTCTCACTGGCGATGACTTGTCAAATGCCATTCAGGTGGAGAGGGACTCGCTGGAGCAGAAGCTGTCACAGGCAAGACTGGAGCTGGCCGAGACCAGGTCTACACTAGGGGGGAAAATTTCAGTTCTAGAAGAGAAGGTATTGTGTTTTTCTTCTTCTTCTTCTTCTTCTTCTTCTTCTTCTTCTTCTTCTTCTTCTTCTTCTTCTTCTTCTTCTTCTTCTTCTTCTTCTTCTTCTTCTTCTTCTTCTTTGTGCTCACCGGCTGTAAACTCTGGTGGAAGGTTTTGGTTGTTCATCCCCTTCTGGACTTTAGTCTTGTCCAAGAACTTGAGTTTTATGTGCTCACCCGTTTTACAGATCTTATTTTGTAAACAGACTGTAGGTTCTTCACCTCTCAGTCAGATGCACTCTGACTTCAAAGAAAAAACCCTCTAATTAGTCGACTTTTACAACATGCCTCTTCTTTGTTTCTCCAAAACAGGTTCATTGGAACCCACTCGGGGAGGTATTGTGTTGGAGACAGTTTCCCTGTGTGGGTTCCGGGGCTGCATTTCAGGGGGAGGGGGGGGGGGGGTGAAGAAAAGACCACTGTTCTTTATCAAGTATGCCATAAAAGAGGATTCATAAAGGATTAGCATAAACTAGATGTGTTGTTCCTAAAGGTGCAAATATCCACAGCGCAACACGCCAACTGCTCTTTTAAGGACAAACATAGAAGAAGATTAAAATTTTAGAACAATTGACCTTCCTGAAATCAGTTGTGTTGCACTGTTTCTTTAAACCTGTGCCTGGGTGCATCTTGTTTTGACAAGCATTTTATGTGTGTGGACCCATCAAGGATGCAAACTTGACAATTTATGTGTGTGGACCCATCCAGGATGCAAACTTGACAATTTATGTGTGTGGACCCATCAAGGATGCAAACTTGACAATTTATGTGTGTGGACCCATCAAGGATGCAAACTTGACAATTTATGTGTGTGGACCCATCAAGGATGCAAACTTGACAATTTATGTGTGTGGACCCATCAAGGATGCAAACTTGACAATTTATGTGTGTGGACCCATCAAGGATGCAAACTTGACAATTTATGTGTGTGGACCCATCAAGGATGCAAACTTGACAATTTATGTGTGTGGACCCATCAAGGATGCAAACTTGACAATTTATGTGTGTGGACCCATCAAGGATGCAAACTTGACAATTTATGTGTGTGGACCCATCAAGGATGCAAACGTAAGAATGGAGAGTGAGAGGCCACAACAAAATTAATAATCTGTTTTAATCACCCAAATTATTAGCCTCATGAGAGCTGACAGACTACAATGGTTGGGACATATAGAACCAATTGGTGGCTGCACATTCAGTTCATGAGTGTAGTTTTTACGGAGACACCAAGGGATCATTACCAGTGCTACAGTGTTCCCGTTGCAGTTGATACTTTGAACTTTAACCTTTAGAGCAGTTGGCAGATCACAGAGAGACAAAAACTGTGTCCACAAAAGAGCTGTATGAGAGTAGAGCACAAGGTAGCCCAAGAAGGCTTTTAAGAAATAATTTACAGGCAGACCTACTAACACTTAAAGTCACCAACTCGAAAGAGAGGGCCAGTCACAGAGATGAAATGTGGGGGGGGGGGGGGGGGGGACTGATATCTGCAGCAGTAAACCTCAGGGCTCAGAATTCTCAAGAATAAAGTGATTTTGTTATCCCCCTCCCTTCAGGTTTGCTTTCATTAGCTTAGGTATATAGTCCTGGGAAATAAAGGTGGCTGGTATAATGTTAACAACATTGCCCTACGTGTGCTGACTGGTCTATGAAAAATGGGTCACACCTCATATGGCCCGATGTGCCAGTGGTGTCAAAATGGTCCTTTACATTTTTTACTTTGACTTCCTTTTGAGAAAAATATCTGTACTAACTACAGTCTGATTGAGGCAAGCTCCATTCCTGGCTCAGCTAACCAAGACTAAAGTCCACAAGTGGATGAACTGCTTTAACCTTCTGTCGTAGTTTACAGCTGGTGAGCGTGAAGAAGATGAAGGAAAGGGGAAGGCATGCATTGCACCACAGCCTCCACAGACCTGGGGCCTTCTTATCTGAAAGCCTTTGGCAGGGAGAACTAAAAGAAGACACACAAATAGAAAAATTATCATAAAACTAAAAACTGTATTCTTCTAATGTAGTTTTAATTAACACTGCTACCTTTATACAGATTTCACGTCAGAATGCTGCGATAGTGGAAGGTAATGAGAAACTGGCAGCCAGACATAAAATCCATGAACAGATGAAGGAAAGCTTTCATAAGCAGGTATTCTTTTGTATTTCCTTATCTTTACTGTTTCTACTTAGATTATGTCTTTTTTTTCCAGTAGCCTCTCACTCTTTCTGTTTCCAAGATGGAATAGAGCAGCGTGTTAGTGTTAAGTGATTTTTCTTTCTGATTATAGTGTTCCTTGTTGTCAGCTGCTATTTTGTGCTTGTTTCTATTGCATGATACCATTTTGTTTTGTGTGTGTTATGTGTGAGAATATTAGGTGGTTTATGTGTGAGAATATTAGGTGGTATCGTAGTTGAAGTTGGATGGCCAGCGATAGAGATCACTAGGCTGCTGTGGTGATCTCAGTGTTTTGATAGTGTCAGTCCACAATCCACAAAGACAGGTATCATTAGCCGGAGACTGCATCTGACCTAACAATAGCTTCTCACAGAAACATAATTTTATCTATTAAAAAAAAATATAAACTGGTTAGGACTTGACACATATAGACAATTCAGTGGACAGGTTGAAATTGTAATCTCTACATTCTCTTAGTATTCTCACAAATTTATTCATATTCTGATAATTTTTGGATTCATGCCTTAATCTAATCTTGTTTTTTTCCTACTGGATAATACACTGTTCATCATTCTTCCTTCTAGGATTGAAATTTCTATTACATTTGTGCTTAGGAAATCTTGCATGTTCATTCAGAAAGTCATGAAATAATTTTACGATCCTCAAATACTAAGATTTGATTTCTGTGGTGAGCAGTTTATTTAAAAACAAGAAAAGTTCTCATTTTCTCGGGGCTAGACTGTGAGAGTTGTACTGTGGAGAAGAGACTGGAGCCTCACCTTGTAAAATTCTCCAAAACAGCAGTGAGTGTACTGCAGCCAGCCTTCACTGTGTCTGGTAGCTGTTGCCTCATCTTAACCTTCATGTCTATAACAAGATGGATATTTTTATATTTAGTCATTAGTTTGTGTCTCCATGTGGGTTCAGGAACCCTGTTATAGGGAAAACAAGAATAGACCCACTGCCTACCCAAAAGCATGATATGATAATTGTTATATTGGGGATGTTTACAAACACTCTTTCATGAGAAGCAGTCCACATATAATTTATTTATTTCATTTTTTTTTATATTTGACAATCATTGTTCACAGATTGAAGACCTAGAGAATGAGTTACAAAAACAGAAATCTTTAGCATTGGAGAGTGAAAATGAGCTCAGCAAGCAGAAGTCTATAGCACTGGACAATGAAACACAGCTTAAATCCAGAATAGCATCTCTAGAACTTCAGATTAAGGAGCTGGACTCTTCTAGAAATATTGAAAGAGAAGAGACCAAGTCTAAAATAGTAAGAGGGAGTTGATTTATTATTATTTAGTCTAAGCTGTGTGACTTTATTAATACTTCTGTTCACAGCCTTCCGTCTCTTATACTGTCAGTCATTCATAATACATATATTCTTCTGTGCATTGTAGCCAAACTTTAGCGTTTAAAAAAAAAATTTTTTATTAACCTTTTTCTGCTTTACTTTGCCTCTAATTTTCTCATTTTCAGGTCTCTTCTTCATATACTCTAGTTTTTCCTTTTCCTGATGTGCCTGAAGAATGAAGATTGTCCTACTTTTGTTGTTACTTCTCAACAGAAGTATATTGGGCCCGTCATGAGGGGGAATGGACAGAGAATCACTAGACAAGAATTGAAATGGAAAAAAAAATAAACTGAGGAAACGAGGACGTCCAAGAAAAACCCTTAGATGAGCGCTGTTGAATGAAACCAACAAACTATTTTCATATAGTCACAAATTAGGCACGCAAGCCCATCTTTTATTCGGCCCTTGCAATCACTTATCTTTCTCAAAGCAATTCTATTTTATCTGTAAAGCATGTTATGTTCATATAAAGAGATGAACTGAGAGATGCCAAGTGGGCTGGACTGGATTCCATCCATGATATTGAGAGCATTGTACAGGATATAACTGAAAGGAGGACAAAACTGTGAGCCTTCTGTGCTTGTGGGTTCCTGGGCCCTATTATAGGAAAAACAAGAATAGACCCACTGCCTGCCCAAAAGCATGTTGTAAGAGTCGACTAATTGGGAGCTTCCTTCGAAGTCAGAGTGCATCTGCCTGAGAGGCAAGGAACCAACAGTCTGCACACAAATGTGTCAGATCTGTTAAATGGATACACACTCAACACTCAGGTTCTGCAACAGGACTGCAGTCCAGAGGTGGACAAACAACCAGAACTTTCCGCCGGAGTTTACAGCCGCTGAATGTGAAGCTGAAGGAGATATATATAAGCAAAGGAGAATGATGAATGATGATGATGAATGGCCAGGTCACAACTTATAATGAACCTAAATGTACTCATTATTTAGCAGGTCCTTCATGGAACCTTGCCCCCATCATGATCTACTGAAACACATTCTGGTCAACCCCATCCCTGCCTTTTCTTTTCAATCAATCAATCATGTGCCGTCTCCACAATGAAGGTTGGCTGCAATGGATCTCCAACAAGCCCTGTCTCTTGCCCTTGATGTACACTCACTCATACTGCTGTTCGTCCATCTCTTGATGTTATCCTCCCACTTGTAACACTGTCTGCCTCTTGCTCGCCTACCTTGAACCTTTTCCTCTAGGATGATCTTTACAATACTGTTGTCTTTTAATGTGACCAAAATATTTCACTTGTCTCTTTTTTTTTTCACCTAGCAACTCTCTTTTCATTCCCAATTTCTTCAGTACCTAGGTATTTGACAGCTTTTGTTTCCATGAAATGCGACCTAATCTTCTGTATATCCACATCCCCAAAGAATTGTTATGATTTTCCAGTTGTTTGTTCATTGTCCATGTTATCTGAGCCACTCGGGTGTTTAATTTAGCCACATTATTTTGCTTTCTAAGAGATGAAGCCTTATTACAGGTTTTCAAAAACAGTCTTACGACGAATCTTTGGACCCATCAGAGTTGCAAACAGCGGGGAATGGAGAGTGAGAAGCGACAACAAAATTCATTATCTGTTTAAATCACCCTTGATCACTGGCATCATGAGAGCTAATAGACTTGAATGGTTGGGACATATTGGAAGAATGTCAGATGACAGAGAAGTAAAAACTGTATACACCAAATTTTCCCCCTTTGTCCCCCATTGAATTAGTCTTTTGTTGTATTGATTCTCTTTTAGCTTAAACTAAGAACAGTGATGCAGTTTAAAACATTAAAATGAATCTCAGTAATCAGCTTTCCTGTTTTCAACAGACTCACCTGGAAAAACTGGTAGCTGTATTTGCTGATAAGGAAACAACACTTGAAGGTCAAGTCTGTGACCTTAAGGACACTGTGAATATATTACAGGTACAGTAATTGTTTGCCCACTTAGTTTCTCACTTAAAGAGAATGTCTCACAATATGTTACCCTACAAGACGTACACCAAAAGAGAAGAGGGACATGGAGCAGGGGTAGACCAACAATTAAATGGGAAGATAACAGCGTTATGTGTCATTGTCGAGGCAGGCATAGGAGCAATAACCAGAATGTTGTGTCTTACTTGACAACTAAAATGATACAAGAGGAAGGAATCGGAAGAAGATAATACATGTTACGTGGTAGTTGCTGTAGCACACTTGCCTGCTGTCTTGGTGGTCATAAGTGTTGTGTGGCACCTGGGTGTAACCAGAGGGTCTGGCCGGCTTACTACACTCAAAGGAAAGGCAAGATGGACATATAACCAGATTGTGAACGGTACCATCAGTATTGGAACTCAGCGCTGGCTGCAGAAGATGAGGACAGAGCATACATGGGAATTCCTTGAGTGCTGTGATGTCAATTCCTGACTCAACTCAAGCGTTGTGTGCTGAACTCGCTTTGCTGTTCATTTGTACCAGAGGTCAGAGGCGTTATCGCCTATGCCAGTGGTAAAGGCGCTTGATGATGGCGATGAAAGAAATGAGTGCAAAAAATCACTGTACTTAACGCATGAGACAGGAGTTTCTTGGGGTTGACAGCTAACAGCGGTCTCCACAGGTTTTGCAAGACGCCAGCGTTGTCAGCAGCTGAGCTGAAGGTTAACCCGTATCCAGTCAGTGCCTCTCTGTCATTGAGATAGTGCAGATGCATTTACAGATGTGTGTGACCATTATTTGTAATTATGGGTGCTATTTTATTCTGTGGGTGAGTTTAGACTTTTCATTAGGATTTGGTGTATAATTTGGATTTCTGCAGTTGAATGTATTTAGTGGAGACAAGAAGGTGAGAGCCCAACACTTTATCTACTGCTGTTGACAGGAAATTGTGCTACTGGGAAAATGTGTGAAGTTCTTCGCTAGTTGAGCAGGCAATTATTCTACTACGGGGACGTGATCTTTCCTCATCGGTGTTCTGACTTGCGACTGTGTGTTGGGGAGACTTGCGACTGTGTGTTGGGGAGACTTGCGACTGTGTGTTGGGGAGACTTGGTGTGCAAATTCTCTAGTCAGTTTTTATATAAGAGACTTGCTGTTATAGGTTATTGGTGACCCAAAGTGTGGGCATATAACCAAGGCGTTTATTATAGGCTTCTGGTGACCCCAGAGTCGGCTCTGTGGCTAAGTCGATGCGAACGCTTCGTAATGCCAGGATGCGGGCTTTGATCCCAGCTGCGGGCCATGTGCCTTGCGTTGGTTTCGACAATGGTATCAAAAAAGCCGACCGTTCAGAAAGCAGTGGCAAACTACTGGAACTGGATGTAAATTTGCCTAGAAAAACCACACAACAGCCATGGGCTGTTGGGGTTAGTTCTACGATGTCCTGTAAAGGATATGCAACTAACCTCGGTGACCCCAGGAGTGGACCCATAGGCCCAAGGTGTTTGTGTTGTGGAGTCACATTAAGCCGAAGCTAGGTGTCACCCTTTGAGGTGATGCCGCCTTGAAAGCATACCAGTGGATATCTGGGAGTATAAGATGGACAGTAGCTCTGTAATCACCAATTAATCTTCATCTGCAGAATGTGTTCGCTCGTAATACAGAGTCTGATGCACTGCTATAGGGATGACTTTTAACGTTTTGTTGTTGGCACTGTTATCGGTGTTGGCGGAATAATGCGACTACGTGTAACTGTGTCATCTAGGCACTCTCCGGTAGAGGATCCAGTTAAGCCTCGGACAGTCGACTTGGGAACTTTCATATATATATATATATATATATATATATATATATATATATATATATATATATATATATATATATATATATATATATATATATATATATATATATATATATATATATATATATATATATATATATATATATAAATATATGAGGAAATAATTTGGGAAGTAAAAGTGGCTGCCATGTTAATGACAGTGTTACACATTTATCTCTAAATATATGTTACTAGCATTCTGGACACATCCATAGTTGCTCCATACTCCTCCTCAGTAGCTTCACAAATGTAAAATGACTAATCATGTCAATTCTGTATTGATTAAAGAAAAATCTCATGTCCTTATTGAAATGTTCGTGTCTGGCAGCTCCTTGATGCACCTTCCTGCACAGGGATACAGAATCTGGCCTGTTGCCTTAACCATCTTCACTGTGCTTATCTTGAATGACATAATATGACTCCACATGGCATGGGCTTTAAGAAGAAGATTCAGAAGGTAATAGCTAATTAGACACGGGGGTAAGGTAAGATAATTCCACGATGCACGTGTTAAGTCTACATTTGCTAGGATGCTTTGATATAAATAATATTGATTGCTTTCAGAATGTGGTGCTGGAGAAGAATCATGAAATTGATTTGCTGGAACAAAAAATTCAAGATGAAGTGGTTACAAACAGTGACAGAAGTAGCACAGTAAGTTCTTCATAGTTCAATTCTCTTCTCTTGCAGTCTACAATGAAGTTTTTGTGTGGTGTTAAAAAGTTGGATTAGACATTTTAAGTGTCTCCGTGTGGGTTCCCGGCCTTTATTTTAGGAGAAAAGAAAAGGAACAGACCCACTGCACCCTTTAACAAGCATGTCATAAAAGGCAAATATTGGCTGTGTTGGGCTGAATGGTGTGGAAATGGCAACTTAGCTGTAAACCACAACACAGTGTGCCAACTGCTTTTCTAAGAGTCAGTGCCGAAGATAGACATTGTTAGTGAAAGTATTTATTTCTCTGTACCCCGTGTCTCATCAGTCTACTGACAAGACATCGACCTGGCTATTTCGAGACAGTAAACTAAGTGTATTTGTAAGGTATTGTTTTGATTTATGTATGTGCTGATTAAGGCTCAATAACCGCAACATTCAGGTTCTGTTTGTGTTTATTAAGCTTGCTGATATACTTTTCGTTTGGTTTTATATCTTTTCTTGATATTGA